CCACGCTAGTTTAAATGGTAAATGGACCTGTACTTGTATAGCGCCTTTCTAGTCTTCTGACCACTCAAAGCTCTTTTTCACCACATGGCACAGCCCATCAAACAGAAACTAATGGATTCATACATATTCTCAGTGGGAGCAATTTGGGGTTCAGTATCTTGCTCAAGGATACTTCAACATGTGTGCAGCCGGGGATTGAACCAACAACCTTCCGATTAGGGGAGGACCTACTCTGCCTCTGCACCACAGCCGCCACAACCAGTTTTACATAATTACATATTGTACATTAAGCCTACACATTTACTTATCTAAAATGTGTTTAATCACAGTTAAGCTGCCAATAATTAAACTTCTCGCAGATCTTTCACAACAAAAGCAAACCAGAAAAGGGTGGGATAGGCTTTTAATGTGCGACGCCTGTGCAGGAAGAGTTGATTTTCATTGAATTAGTCAATTTTAGCAGCAATTTTAAAAAGATGCCAAAGTTAAAAGAATTGGGGAAAAGCATGTTGTTAGAGTTTTAGTGAACAGCTTTTCACTCCTCTTTTTGTGTTCAGTCCAACAGGTTCTCATGTAGAGTGGTGTAAACAGCTGATAGCAGCCACCATCTCCAGTCAGATCTCAGGAGCAGTCCCACCTGACATTGTCAACAGGGAGAACAAGGTAGCTAACTCTCACACACACACACACACACACACAGACACTGCTGACAGTATTCTCATCAGTTTGTGTTTTGTAACTGATAGGCTATGAGAAGACCAGATTTCATGGTAAGACTGGCAGAAATGGCGACCTGTATGCACTACATGCACTCCAGCTGTGTGTGTTACTGTATGTGTGTGTGCACTGCACCACAGCTGTTGTCATTGTTTAGATGAGCTACTGTTAAGCTGCTGTAAGGTTCCTCTTCTGCTTATGTCTGTCAGCCTGCTTCCCAAAGCTACGCTGTCCTCAACCAAAGACAGTATGAAAACCCAACTTGTCCTCCAACCAGTCCATTGGTTTGACGTAGTAGGTAGAAGTTTAACGTTATGTGTATTCATTTAGTAAGCAACATTGTTTGGTTTAGTACACAAACAGAAAGCTACAGAATATCCCCCTCAGGGTCATTTTATCAGAGCTGCTGAATTTCAGGTGTACCAGTACGACCTGTGAAAATGACCATTGGTTGCACCCACGAGCCCTGGCAGTATATAGATAATAAATCCCAGGATCATGGCTAAAGGGTTTTGTTTTATTCGTCCAGGTTTGGAGATATGCATTCAATCCAGTACAATGGAGGGGAGTGGTAGTACTGTCCCTGACTAAAGATTTTCCTAGCTGAGTTGTAGATAAAGCCAATATTCGACTAGTTGTCACACGTCAATAGCTGTCTGCTAAATGCTAACGGAAAACATTCAGTTCATTTATGTCCTTTAAGTCTTCAAATACGGAATAAATAACTTCCAACTTCACAAAAACAAATATTGGCGGACTGATTGATACGATGGATGATGGCTAATGTTACCAGTTACTTACAAATTAACTCGCTGCAAACCTTGCCTCTCCTGTTGCTGCCTGAACCCGCCGTGTCTTCATCCCTGGAATCCGAGTCCTGGTTGGAGCCGCTGGAAATCAAATCGGCCTCTGTTAAGGCTGTGAGCCTATTTCAGTTGTATGCTCCTTGGCAGTATTTCCTGCTGGGTTCCCCTGCTCCTACGCTACAGACAGCTAATAGGACCGTTAACTAGCTAGTTGCAGTAGCTAGTACAGTTAGCATACGCAACAGTAGTCCAGTAAGTGACTCCCTGTGTTAGAAGAGAAAAGGTCCGTGTTGCAACAATCCTCTGATACTTTAGTCCCGATGACAAGGCAAGCTCTGAAATGGAGTTTAATGTTGGTTTTGCTTTTCCTTTGACTATCAGACTGATGAAAAGTGTGTCACCTATTAGGGGGCAGCCCTAATGTATGGAATATACATTTACCTTTAAAACAAATCATTACTTAAGTGTCTCCTTTCAGAAACAGTGCTCCATTTCCACTGACAGATTATTTCTGTGGTAAGAAGTAGTTCCAATGAAAGCTGTTGACCTTAACATCCGTGCAGAGTAGGGATCGACCGATTATCGGCCGGGCCGATTATCGGCATTTTGACGCATAACGGCATCAGCCTTTTTTTTTAATCCGACGGCCGATAAGAGATCAATTTAAAACTGAGTTACTACTCTGTCTCTCCAGCATTGTCCCACTCACAGCACCATCTCATTGGTTACACGCTCGGGTAACTAATGGGTAACAGCCAATCAGCAGTGAAAGCTGTGCATGCACAGTGCTCACACACACGGCGGAGAGGAGAAAAAGTTTCGGCTTGGTTTCGAAGGTAAATTAAGGCAGCACACTCTCCCGAAATTGTAATAAACATCCCAGTCCTCTACAACTCACAACTACTAGTAACATTAATGTGAGCCTATTAAACATATAAACATAAGCGGCACCTCTGCTCGCTCGCAGTCCCTCCAGACGTGCCTGTTAATCACTCCAAACAAGGTTGCTGATAATATCGATATGGAAATAGTCCGTGATAGTAGAAGTCTGTGTGTGTGAGTGACAGAGTAAAAACCTAATAAACTCAATTCAGTCCAGTTTTACTATTTATTTATTTATTTATTTAAATTTTCAGTTAACTTTATAAAAGATCCTGCTGACCCTGGGAACACCCTGCACTTTTTGTTTTTGTTTGAACTTAAAACAAAGTGAAAGTGAAGATAAGTGAAAGATTAACATTTCAGTTATATTGAAATTTTGGAAAACTTTATTTACTGTAGAAGCTCCCTGCACTTTTTGTTAGAATTTTAAAACAAAGATGTCTATTGTCTAAGATAAAAAAAAAAACCTTTAACATGTTGCAAATCTGATAA